ACTATGCAGTAATGTGTTGTTGCCAGTCAATAATCTACCATGCAGTAATGTGTTGTCGCCAGTCAATAATCTACCATGCAGTAATGTGTTGTTGACAGTCAATAATCTACCATGCAGTAATGTGTTGTTGCCAGTCAATCATCTACCATGCAGTAATGTGTTGTTGCCAGTCAATAATCTACCATGCAGTAATGTGTTGTTGCCAGTCAATAATCTACCATGCAGTAATGTGTTGTTGCCAGTCAATAATCTACTATGCAGTAATGTGTTGTTGCCAGTCAATAATCTACCATGCAGTAATGTGTTGTTAATAATCTACTATGCAGTAATGTGTTGTTGCCAGTCAATAATCTACCATGCAGTTATGTGTTGTCGCCAATCAATAATCTACCATGCAGTTATGTGTTGTTGCCAGTCAATAATCTACCATGCAGTAATGTGTTGTTGCCAGTCAATAATCTACCATGCAGTAATGTGTTGTTGCCAGTCAATAATCTACCATGCAGTAATGTGTTGTTGCCAGTCAATAATCTACTATGCAGTAATGTGTTGTTGCCAGTCAATAATCTACCATGCAGTAATGTGTTGTTGCCAGTCAATAATCTACCATTCAGTAATGTGTTGTTGCCAGTCAATAATCTACCATGCAGTAATGTGTTGTTGCCAGTCAATAATCTACTATGCAGTAATGTGTTGTTGCCAGTCAATAATCTACCATGCAGTAATGTGTTGTCGCCAATCAATAATCTACCATGCAGTTATGTGTTGTTGCCAGTCAATAATCTACCATGCAGTAATGTGTTGTTGCCAGTCAATAATCTACCATGCAGTAATGTGTTGTTGCCAGTCAATAATCTACCATGCAGCAATGTGTTGTTAATAATCTACTATGCAGTAATGTGTTGTTGCCAGTCAATAATCTACCATGCAGTAATGTGTTGTTGCCAGTCAATAATCTACCACGCAGTAATGTGTTGTTGACAGTCAATAATCTACCATGCAGTAATGTGTTGTTGCCAGTCAATAATCTACCATGCAGTAATGTGTTGTTGCCAGTCAATAATCTACCATGCAGTAATGTGTTGTTGCCAGTCAATAATCTACCATGCAGCAATGTGTTGTTGCCAGTCAATCATCTACCATGCAGCAATGTGTTGTTGCCAGTCAATAATCTCAGGGTTCATAGCCAAATTTACCAATCAATTTCAAGGCTTTTCAAGGTCTTTTTCAAGGTCTCCTTTGTTTTTTTCAAGGTTGTCTCTGTGTAATACTGAAACAAGATTTTTGCCTTGTTCAAGGGTGTACTGAGCACACAAGGTACTTCATTTGTGCCACATGTGTTGGTATACCAGCACAGATATCATCATCATGTAGCATTTCCTTTGTCCTGACAAAAAAAACCTCGGTCTCTCACCAGCTCTCCCGCCTCATGTACTTTTTTATACTCAAGGAGTCACTTATATCCTGTGCCCATCTTCGTGTTGGTCGGCCCCTGAGCTTGATATAGTGTTTGAAATTTTTTTTTAGGGCTTGATGGTAGAGGGCAGGAAACTGAAGTCCTGTCTGTTCTGGACCTGGTACCTGAGAGGGTTAGGGGAGAGAGAGAGAGTCATGAAGAGAGAGAAAGACACATGCTGAGGTAGGCTGGGAGAGACAGTGTAAAGATGGACAGATGGAGGTAGAGAAAAGAAGGAAAAGAAGTCTGGGGAAGGAGGAAAAAATGAGAGGGAGGGATGGAGACATGATGAGGAAAAGTGGGGAAGGGACAGCGAAAGACAGAGAGGGAGACAAATACAGAAAGAGGGAATGCAGATACAGAGATGGGCAGATGAAAAGAGAAGGAAAAAGGGAATGAAACAGAGATATGGAAGGAGGAAAATATGACAAAGAGTTGAAAGAAGGGAGACAGAGGGAGAGAGAATGGACAGGGTGAGAAGCAGATGCAAGCAGAGAGAGATGTAGACATAAAGGAGAGAGAGACAAAGGGACAGCACAGAGAGGCAAGCAGACAGAGGGAGAGAATCAAAGAAAGAGAAAAAAGGCAGAACAGGAGAATGGGAGGGAGGTATACAAAGAGGAAGTGATGAAGGGAGGCAAACAGACATAAAGCAAGAGAGAGAGAGAGAGAGAGAGAGAGAGAGAGAGAGAGAGAGAGGTGGGTAAGAAAGGCAGTGACAAACACAGATTAAGAGAGAGGGGCAGGAAGGGAGACAAGATACATCAAAGAAAAAAAACAGCCACCTACTCCCCCTCCCCCCCCCCCCCCACAATTTCAAGTGTAGTGGACTAGGAAAAGAGTTATGGGGCAAAAAAATGCGTAGATGAACCAGTAAAAAATGGGGGGGGGGGGGGGGGGGGAGAGAGAATGAGAGAGGGGAGCGGGTAAGGAAATCTAGAGAAAATGAAAAGACAGGATGGAGAGGAGACAAAGAAGAGATGGGACAGGAGAAAGGGCAAGGAAAGGAAGAGAGGAAGAATGGAGAGAGAAAGGATAATAGTAGAAGATCAAAGGAAAGAGAAGGGGTGAGAGAAGAAAGGTAAGACACGGTTGTGGGGGTGGGGTGGGGGGCGGTGTAAGAACAATGAGTGCCAAAAATAGAATTAGGAAATCTCTAAGTGAGGCCACTTTTCCGGTTCCTACCCTCTCCCAATGTGAATGTGGCCGTGGTCCAAAAACAACAATGCTAACCCCTACTGCCCCTTGCTTGTCCTATCTGTGTGTGACAACAATAATTCAATTTCTTACACTTAAGGCTGGTGACCTGAGAGCCAAGGTCATTTTATGAAGAAAGAAAAAGTCCAGGGGATCCCAACCCACCACTGGTAGAAAATAGAGAAGTTTACCCACACACATAAATAGGTCAGACACATAAATAGGTCAGGGCAGCAGTGGACTTTTTATTTCTGGTTTTCCAATTACAGAAAGGAGGGGAGAGAGGAGGTGGTGGAAAGTGGTGTAGAAGGCTAAGGTGGTAAGGGTGAGACAGAGGAGGTGAGAGAATAAAGTTTAAGAAAATAAAGTGGGAATGAGACAGGGAGAGAAAGAAGGGAGTAAGAAATAAGATGAGATATAGAGGGAAGAAGGTAGCAGGAAGGGGTGCACTCCCTCCCCTAGGTGTCATCAATGTGAGAGGAGAAAAAAGGGGAGGGGGGGGGACGGCAAATGTGTTTTTAAAAGTACACATATATTTAATGTGTGGGAGGGGTCAATGGTGGACATGAAATGTTCTGCACTAGGCAACACATAACCTTCTACACCAACTGAAGGTATGGAGAAAGAAAGAGAGAGAGAGAGAGAGAGAGAGGGAGTGAGGGAGAGTGGCAAATACAAAGAGAAAGAGAGAGAGGAAAGCAGTGACACAGACAGGCAGAGAGTGAGGAACAGGTAGGACAAAATGTGAGGGGGCGGGAAGGGAGATGGACAGAGATTAAGGCCGCTAGGAAAACAAACACATCAAAAGAAAATATCCACCATGTTCCCACAGAATGCCCCCCCCCCCCCCCAATACAACTTCCTGTGTACTTGAGTTGCTAGGGAGAGTTATGGAGCCGCACATTTACTAAACATTTAAACAAGAAATAAAATAGGAAAAAGGGGGAGGGGGGACAGGAAATGAGAGTCAATGGAAAGAGAGAGAAAGAGAAGAAGATAAAGATCAGAAGGGAGGGTTAGAGACAATGCAGGAGACGGGAAGGAAGGAGCAATAGGTAGAAGAGTGAAAGAGGGAGGGAAGAGAGAGAGGGGTGAGACAACAGAAGAGGGAATCTCGGGGAATTACAATACTGATCGCCAAACACACTGTAAAGATAAATCCAGGCCAAAAATAGAACTGGGAAATCCAGCTGCAGTCACTTTGCTTAGCCTCAATGCCATCTCTAATTAATAGAGAAGGCCGCAGTGCTTAGCCCCCACCACGGCGACTCTATTTATAAATACAACTGAACCGAGCCCCACCATCTCCCAATGTAATCCTTTCTAGAAACCACGGCCATAAACGATTTTTACTGTTCATTCTGCCCGACTTGCTAGAAACAAAGGCACACACACAGGTGCGAGACGGAATCTGCTACTTCCCGCCCCATGCCACACCACTGCTGTCTGCATGTATTCATGATCTGCAACACAGCCCGCCCTCCCCTGGCCTTTAACAAGCCATTTCGGCTGAAAATAGCCAATAATCAGCTGCCCTCACACCTGAAACGACCATACAACGAAAGTAGCCAAAAACTAGCCAAATGGCCAAAAAAAGCCAAATGGCTCCCCCAAAATTGCCTGGGCTGAGAAACACAGGATTTCTGACGATTTCATTGCCGCGGTCAAAATTCACGGCTTTTCAAGGTCGGAATGTATTTTATAAGCTAAAATTCACGGTTTAAGGTCAACGAAAAAAATCCCGGTAATTTCCCCATTTCCCGGTCCACTACGAACCCTGTAATCTACTATGCAGTAATGTGTTGTTGCCAGTCAATAATCTACCATGCAGTAATGTGTTGTTGCCAGTCAATAATCTACTATGCAGTAATGTGTTGTTGCCAGTCAATAATCTACCATGCAGTAATGTGTTGTTGCCAGTCAATAATCTACCATGCAGTAATGTGTTGTTGCCAGTCACATCTACCATGCAGTAATGTGTTGTTGACAGTCAATAATCTACCATGCAGTAATGTGTTGTTGACAGTCAATAATCTACCATGCAGTAATGTGTTGTTGCCAGTCAATAATCTACCATGCAGTAATGTGTTGTTGCCAGTCAATAATCTACCATGCAGTAATGTGTTGTTGCCAGTCAATAATCTACCATGCAGTAATGTGTTGTTGCCAGTCAATAATCTACCATGCAGTAATGTGTTGTTGCCAGTCAATAATCTACTATGCAGTAATGTGTTGTTGCCAGTCAATAATCTACAATGAAGCAATGCGACAGCATATATATATATATGAATCAACTCCCTACAATATATATATGAATCAACTTCCTACAAAAAATCCAACAACTTACCTCCGCGATCACCCCCTCTGCCTCCCCTGAAACCCTGATTGCGGTCTTTCTGTCTTCCTGCTGCTATGTCCACCCTGATATTCTTATCCTCCAGAAGCTGGTAAAAAGATAATTTTTACGTGAGTTTGTTACATGATGAACAGTTAAGTCAAGGATTTGATCGCATAATGTATTACATAACTCTGTCCCACACTGAACAGTTAAGTCATGATTTGATCACATAATGTATTACATAACTGTGTCCCACATTGAACAGTTAAGTCATGATTTGATCACATAATGTATTACATAACTCTGTCCCACATTGAACAGCTAAGTCATGATTTGATCACATAATGTATTACATAACTCTGTCCCACATTGAACAGTTAAGTCAAGGATTTGATCGCATAATGTATTACATAACTCTGTCCCACACTGAACAATTAAGTCATGATTTGATCACATCATGTATTACATAACTCTGTCCCACATTGAACAGTTAAGTCATGATTTGATCACATAATGTATTACATAACTCTGTCCCACATTGAACAGCTAGGTCATGATTTGATCACATAATGTATTACATAACTCTGTCCCACACTGAACAGTTAAGTCATGATTTGATCACATAATGTATTACATAACTCTGTCCCACATTAAACAGCTAATTCATGATTTGATCACATAATGTATTACATAACTCTGTCCCACACTGAACAGTTAAGTCATGATTTGATCACATAATGTATTACATAACTCTGTCCCACACTGAACAGCTAAGTCATGATTTGATCACATAATATATTACATAACTCTGTCCCACATTAAACAGCTAGGTCATGATTTGATCACATAATGTATTACATAACTCTGTCCCACATTGAACAGTTAAGTCATGATTTGATCACATAATGTATTACATAACTCTACCCCACACTGAACAGTTAAGTCATGATTTGATCACATAATGTATTACATAACTCTGTCCCACATTGAACAGTTAAGTCAAGGATTTGATCGCATAATGTATTACATAACTCTGTCCCACACTGAACAAATAAGTCATGATTTGATCATATAATGTATTACATAACTCTGTCCCACATTGAACAGCTAAGTCATGATTTGATCACATAATGTATTACATAACTCTGTCCCACATTGAACAGTTAAGTCATGATTTGATCACATAATGTATTACATAACTCTACCCTACACTGAACAGTTAAGTCATGATTTGATCACATAATGTATTACATAACTCTGTCCCACATTGAACAGCTAAGTCATGATTTGATCACATAATGTATTACATAACTCTGTCCCACACTGAACAGCTAAGTCATGATTTGATCACATAATGTATAACTCTGTCCCACATTAAACAGTTAAGTCATGATTTGATCACATAATGTATTACATAACTCTGTCCCACATTGAACAGTTCAGTCGTGATTTGTTTACATAGCATGTCTGTCCTATGTTGAACAGTTAACGTAAATCTGTTCACATAACATGTATGTCCTATGCCGAACAGTTAAGTGATGATATGCTCAAATAACCAAGTAGATTAGGTTGTCCCATGTTGAACAGGTAATGTAAGATCTGTTCACAAAACATTTTATATGAATCTCAAGTCATGATTCGTTCAATATGCTACTGCCAACGTATGCACACAAACATCTATGAGGTCCAGTAAACAAAGACAGGGTTTTTGGAGACGTCACTGAGCGGGGAATTGTTTTCTCATTCATGTGTGACACAGGAAGTGAGGTCTGAGAAAGTGATGTCAGGAGACGTCACTGAGCAGGGAATCATATTCTCATTCATGTTTGACACAGGAAGTGAGGTCTGAGAAAGTGATGTCACTGAGCACGGAATCATTTTTTCATTCACAACATCTCAGACAACACTACAATGAAAAAATGTATACAGAAAAAAGTAATGGTGAAACAATGTGACTGATCTACTTACTGCACCATCATAGCTAAGAGCTTCTTTCATGGAATCTACATCATCAAACTCCACATAACAAAAACCTGAAACGGACAAGATTAAACATGGCTAGAGCAAATACTGATTCACTTTGGTATTCAATATTATTAATGTTGGGATGGAAGGCAAAGGACGTACACAGTGTGACATGTGGTCAACACAGCCTCATTTCTGGGGGTCTTGTCTCAGTTCCAAGTCTGGAGATGCATAGATAACATCAACACAGCCTCATTTCCGGGGGCCTTGACTCAGTTACAAGTCTGGGGATACAGAGATAACATCAACACAGTGTGACATTTGGTCAACACAGCCTCATTTCTGGGGGCCTTGTCTCAGTTCCAAGTCTGGGGATGCGCAAATAACATCAACAACTGCCCCACAATGTGTGTCTTAGTCTTGCTCCACAGGTGGTATACCTCTGGGAAAATGTGGACAGTTGTGCAGGCTGTGTTGTGGGAACCACAATGTGGGCAGTGCAGGCTGTGTTGTGGGAACCAGAATGTGGGCAGTTGTGCAGTGGGAACCACAATGTGGGCAGTTGTGCAGGCTGTGTTGTGGGAACCACAATGTGGGCAGTGCAGGCTGTGTTGTGGGAACCAGAATGTGGACAGTTGTGCAGTGGGAACCACAATGTGGGCAGTTGTGCAGGCTGTGTTGTGGAAACCACAATGTGGGCAGATGTGCAGGCTGTGTTGTGGAAACCACAATGTGGGCAGATGTGCAGGCTGTGTTGCGGAAACCACAATGTAGGCAGTTGTGCAGTGGGAGCCACAATGTGGACAGTTGTGCAGGCTGTGTCGTGGGAGCCACAATGTGGACAGTTGTGCAAGATGTGTGTCATGGGAACCAGAATGTGGACAGTTGTGCAGGCTGTGTGTCGTGGGAACCACAATGTGGGCAGATGTGCAGTGGGAACCACAATGTGGGCTGATGTGCAGTGGAAACCACAATGTGGGCAGATGTGCAGGCTGTGTTGTGGGAACCACAATGTGGGCAGATGTGCAGGCTGTGTTGTGGGAACCACAATGTAGGCAGTTGTGCAGTGGGAACCACAATGTAGGCAGTTGTGCAGTGCGAGCCACAATGTGGACAGTTGTGCAGGCTGTGTCGTGGGAGCCACAATGTGGACAGTTGTGCAAGATGTGTGTCGTGGGAACCAGAATGTGGACAGTTGTGCAGGATGTGTGTCGTGGGAACCAGAATGTGGACAGTTGTGCAGGCTGTGTGTCGTTGGAACCACAATGTGGACAGTTGTGCTGGATGTGTGTCGATAGTTTAGTGATAAGGAACTACTAATAGTTTAGTCATGAGGAAAAAAACATTGACAAGAACTACTGATAGTTTAGACATAAAAAAAAACATTGACAAGAACTACTGATAGTTTAGACATAAGAAAAAAAACATTGACAAGAACTACTGAAAGTTTAGACATAAGAAAAAAAACATTGACAAGAACTACTAATAGTTTAGTCATAAGGGGAAAAAACATTGACAAGAACTACTAATAGTTTAGTCATAAGGAAAAAAAAAACATTGACAAGAACTACTAATAGTTTAGTCATAAGGAAAAAAAACATTGACAAGAACTACTAATAGTTTAGTCATAAGGAAAAAAAACATTGACAAGAACTACTAATAGTTTAGTCATAAGAAAAAAAAACATTGACAAGAACTACTAATAGTTTAGTCATAATAAAAAAAAAACATTGACAAGAACTACTAATAGTTTAGTCATTAAAAAAAAAAAACATTGACAAGAACTACTAATAGTTTAGTCATAAGAAAAAAAAAACATTGACAAGAACTACTAATAGTTTAGTCATAAGAAAAAAAAAACATTGACAAGAACTACTAATAGTTTAGTCATAAGAAAAAAAAAACATTGACAAGAACTACTAATAGTTTAGTCATAAGGAAAAAAAAACATTGACAAGAACTACTAATAGTTTAGTCATAAGAAGAAAAAAAACATTGACAAGAACTACTAATAGTTTAGACATAATAAAAAAAAAACATTGACAAGAACTACTAATAGTTTAGTCATTAAAAAAAAAACATTGACAAGAACTACTAATAGTTTAGTCATAAGAAAAAAAAACATCGACAAGAACTACTAATAGTTTAGTCATAAGGAAAAAAAAACATTGACAAGAACTACTAATAGTTTAGTCATAAGGAAAAAAAACATTGACAAGAACTACTGATAGTTTAGTCATAAGAAAAAAAAACATTGACAAGAACTACTAATAGTTTAGTTATAAGGGAAAAAAAAACATTGACAAGAACTACTAATAGTTTAGTCATAAGGAAAAAAAATATTGACAAGAACTACTGATAGTTTAGTCATAAGAAAAAAAACATTGACAAGAACTACTGATAGTTTAGTCAAGAGGAGAAACAACCCAGAATTACTGGGGACCACTTACTAATTAATCAGAGACAGAGAGAGAGAACACCCAGACTTACCAAAGCTTGATCATGAATCAGACATAGAGGACAGATGATACAGTTAATTAATACAAATGTGCAAGAGAACATCTGGCAACGCACCTTTAAAACGGTCTGTCTCTTTGTCACGGACTAGACGAACACTTTTCACCTGAAAAATGCAATAAATAATTAGTCGCGGAAATAAGAATTTCCTGCATGGAAGTATACAACAGAAAACTGTTTGATCAAAGTGAGCTAGTACTGGGTGGTGCTAGCTGATCCTTGTCACTGGACAAGGACATCTCTGTGAGAGGTTGAGTCTCCTCCTTAGGAGCACACAGGGAGAATGTCCGCACGGCAAGAACTCTGACGCTGACCAAGTATCCACTTGTGTGTCTTTGCTACATATATTCTAAGGTGCACAGGTTTTCTATACAAGTCTACGTATGCTTAGCCTACTGGCTGTGATGTCCAACTGCTGGGGGATCTGAGTGTACTCAATGAATACAAGCCCTCTGAATCTGTTACTCCGTATGCTTAGCCTACTGGCTGTGATATCCAACTGCTGGGGGATCTGAGTGTACTCAATGAATACAAGCCCTCTGAATCTGTTACTCCGTATGCTTAGCCTACTGGCTGTGATGTCCAGCTGCTGGGAGATCTGAGTGTACTCAATGAATACAAGCCCTCTGAATCTGTCACTCCGTATGCTTAGCCTACTGGCTGTGATGTCCAACTGCTGGGGGATCTGAGTGTACTCAATGAATACAGGCCCTCTGAATCTGTCATCCTGGTTTCAGTTCAGTAGAGAAGCCACACTTATGTGAGTACAACTGAGTTCTCCATGTGATGTGTGCAAAACATGGGTGGTGCACAGTGAAGAGCAACTGCTGTGACAGTTGGCAGATTTCTCACCAACTGATTCTCCCTTCCTTAGTCAGACAGGTGTCTGATTCCATGATGATACCAGCTGGTCACCCTACCTTAGTCAGATGTGTCTGATTCCATGATGATACCAGCCGGTCACCCTACCTTAGTCAGACTGGCATCTGATTCCATGATGATACCAGCTGGTCACCCTACCTTAGTCAGACTGGTGACTGATTCCATGATACCAACTGGTCACCCTACCTTAGTCAGATGTGTCTGATTCCATGATGATACCAGCTGATCACCCTACCTTAGTCAGATGTGTCTGATTCCATGATGATACCAGCTGGTCACCCTACCTTAGTCAGACTGGTGTCTGATTCCATGATGATACCAGCTGGTCACCCTATCTTAGTCAGACTGGTGTCTGATTCCATGATGATACCAGCCGGTCACCCTACCTTAGTCAGACTGGTGTCTGATTCCATGATACCAGCTGGTCACCCTACCTTAGTCAGACTGGTGACTGATTCCATGATGATACCAGCTGGTCACCCTACCTTAGTCAGACTGGTGACTGATTCCATGATGATACCAGCCGGGCACCCTACCTTAGTCAGACTGGTGACTGATTCCATGATGATACCAGCTGGTCACCCTACCTTAGTCAGACTGGTGACTGATTCCATGATACCAGCCGGGCACCCTACCTTAGTCAGACTGGTGACTGATTCTATGATGATACCAGCTGGCACCCTGCCCATACTAGGTCTAAATAGCTTGTCTCTTCGGAAATAAAAGTATTACCTATGACATAAATACACATATAATCACAATAACAGACACACAATCAAACTAATATTAATGGTAATAAATAGTGAAGAGAGAAAAAAGGTGCACTTACATTGAGATCTTTAAATATGGACTCCAGATCCCCCTGGACAATTCCTTGAGGCAAGTTACCGATAAAAATTGTATAAGGTGCCTCTGTTGGAATCTGTACACCGTCTTTGGAATATCCACCACTTCCGCCGCCACCACCACTGCTGCTGCCTCTGCCACCACCACCACGACCGCCACTGTAACCACGATCATAGCCTCCGTAACTGCCACCACGACGTCCTCTATAGCCATCATCGGAGCCTCTATCATTTCCATATCCTCTTTCACTACCATAGTTTCTGTCATTTCCGAATCCCCTGTCACTGCCACTGCCGTATCCACTTCGGTCAGTGAAGCCCCTGTCATCGTCATCCCTTAAATTAAAATTGTTTTTCAATCATAAAGAAAATTTTCAAGCCACAAAAACAAACAGACATTTTAGCTAATTCTGGTTAAACCAAGAAGGCTTCTTAACACGAACAGAATTAAGTCAGATAATCTCTTGGCTAAGACAGCAACTGGATCGTGCCATTCAGATTTGATAAAACTCTTATTTGAAAAGCTCAAAAGGTTGACAAACTATGCACTGCAAAACTAATTTCTAAACACAAAACAGGTCACTATGATAAAACCTCAAACAAGCCATTAGGATGTGGTCCAATAGCATGCACATGATAACTCCAGACATCATTAAAATATACCAGAAGTTGCTCTACTGATGATGAAACCCCCAGACATAACAATATACCAGAAGTGGTGACTGATGATGAAACCTCCAGACATCATGACAATATACCAGAAGTGGTGACTGATGATGAAACCTCCAGACATCATGACAATATACCAGAAGTTGCTCTACTGATGATGAAACCTCCAGCCATCATGACAATATACCAGAAGTTGTGACTGATGATGAAACCTCCAGACATCATGACAATATACCAGAAGTGGTGACTGATGATGAAACCTCCAGACATCATGACAATATACCAGAAGTTGCTCTACTGATGATGAAACCCCCAGACATCATGACAATATACCAGAAGTTGTGACTGATGATGAAACCTCCAGACATCATAACAATATACCAGAAGTTGTGACTGATGATGAAACCCCCAGACATCATGACAATATACCAGAAGTTGCTCTACTGATGATGCAACCCCCAGACATTATGACAATATACCAGAAGTGGTGACTGATGATGAAACCTCCAGCCATCATGACAATATACCAGAAGTTGTGACTGATGATGAAACCTCCAGCCATCATGACAATATACCAGAAGTTGTGACTGATGATGAAACCTTCAGACATCATGAGACAATATACCAGAAGTGGTGACTGATGATGAAACCTCCAGACATCATGACAATATACCAGAAGTGGTGACTGATGATGAAACCCCCAGACATCATGACAATATACCAGAAGTTGTGACTGATGCACAGAGTTCTGATATTAAAACCTTGTTGTGAACTGCCCAGATGTATCATTTACACCCAGCAAAAACCTTGAATGAACAAACTAAGTCAGAACCAAAACTTTCCAACACAAGACACTCAAGTTCACAGAAGGTTCTGCTACAAATTTAAAAAGCTAAATCTACATAACATATCCCAGTGGCAAAACAGAGAATTGTGTGATTAAAATTGATCGCTTCTGCAACTGCTGATCTGTTGGTGACTTCTGATAGTCACTTGTGCTACCACCCATGATAAACTGCATTTCTAATATCGGACTGTGTGTGTTAGCATTTCTGATGGCTACCATATGCTTGAAATGTGTGTGTGTGCTAGCGCATATGCTGAGACAGCAGTCTGTCAATCTTTCCACAAGGGACTGTGATAAACATGTGTGTTTTTGTTGGCACAGGAGCAGAGCAACTATGGGGTGACCCATTTGCTATAAAGTTGAAACTAAGATTACCAAATTATATAGTGTATATATATGTATATATATATATATATATATATATATATATATATATATATATATATATATATATATATATATATATATATATATATATATATATATATATATATATATATATATATATATATATATATATATATATATATATATGTGTATATGTATGTATATGTATATGTATGTATATGTATGTATATGTATATATGTATGTATATGTATATATGTATGTACTAAAACAATTTTAGAATATCAGTATATTATATATATATATATATATAATATACTGATATTCTAAAAAAATTTTTAGTTACAGCAAGTATAAGTGTCATTATGTTAACCTCCTATCTTCCTCAAAATTTTAGATTATATATATATATATATATATATATATATATATATATATATACACACACACACACCCCACACACATAGGCTATCCTTCGAATACCGGTCCCAGATTATCGAGCAGAAATATACCCTAACAGGGCCTCAGTCATATGTGCGTAGAGGCGTAGGAGATACTCTTGGCGGTGGCGGAAATCCATAATTTGCATACATGTGACTGAGGCCCTGTTATGGTATATTTTCGGCTTCGATAATTTGGGACAGTTTTTCGGAAGATAGCCGAAAGCAACATATTGTTTGATTCTCAGGATTCTGAAACTAAAAGTGTATGTACGTATGTATGCATATACATAAAATATATATGGCTGTCCTCCGAAAAACAGTCTCAGATAATCGAGGCCAAAAATATACCCTAACAGGGCCTCAGTCACATGTAAATTGCTGACTTTTAGCGACTACAGCCAGCGCAGAGAGTATCTGCCGCTACGAGCGGCGGGGCTTAACTATATGGCCGGGACACACGAGCAAATAAAATGAAGGAAACTGCAGGAGATGCGGCAGCCATCTAGTTTAGCCCAATCCACGCTGCGCGTAACGGCATGGGAGATACATCGGTGGTAGCGGTAGTCGTCGGAAGTGCGCAATTTAAGCCGCCAGAAGTCCGCAATTTACATGTGACTTGAGGCTCTGTCAGTGTTTATTTTCGGCCGCAATAATTTGGGATCATTATTTGGAAGATAGCCTTGCTTTTTCTTTTTTATTTAAAGTTCTGGTTACTTATAACAACATAAAGCTGATTTTAATGAGCTCTACTTACTCTGGGACGACAAAGGTGATTGCAATAGGATAGGGGTTAGTTCAAAGGCTGATAGATTGGCTGAAGCTTGGTAAATTTAGTCAGATTAGTGCCTTCAACTTGATGAGTCACCACCACACGATATTGTGAGGAAGACAATATTATTAGTTACAATTACACTATTTACCTGCCACCACTTTGTAATCTTCGGCTTGAGACTGACTGACGGAATTTTCAGTTGTGACTGTAAATTGGGGGATTTAGAGCTTGCTCTGCCATTACAACTGCCTGACGCCAGTAACTGGCCTCGGCGACTGATCTAGTGAATGCACGTGTGTGCTGGCTGGCTGTGTGCCGTGTTTCATCACAATTTATGGACATGGCTAATGATGATGATGATGAAGTGGCAGATCGCTACCCTGCATGGTCAAAGGCAGCTTCTTTCGAACACAGAAAGCTATGCTAAATAAAGAATACGCTTCACTAGGAAAATGATGAAATAACTCGATATGCACTAGCTGAAGTAAATGAAAGATGCCTAGAAAACCTACCCGTTGGAATCGTCCCGCGGGCGACTTCTCCCAAATCCACGATTATCCTCAAAGTCAGCCATTTTGAATGGAAAGGAATTGTTCAGTTTCCGGTGAGACATGCGCTGCCCACCGGGCGGCGGGGCGGTCTGGCTGGCGCGGGGACCCCGTCTTGTAGTGGTTGTTGGTGGTAGTTGTGACAGCGGTGGTGGTAGCAATGGTTGTGGTAGTGATAAGGATGGTGTGGGTAGTAATAGTTTTAGTAATAGTAGTGGTGGTGAATTGTTAATAATATTTTAGGCAAAATACAAATGTGGTGGTAGTAGTCTTCATATAAAAAATAGATGCCAGTCATAAAAGTTAAAGTCGAGAGGACCAGCTTCATTACACTGCTTTTATCCCACATGGTTCCGTCTCTCTCTCTCTCTCTCTCTCTCTTTCTCTCTCTCTCTCTCTCTCTCTCTCTCTCTTTCTCTCTCTCTCCAGAACGGCTAGCCGTCTGTTGGGAGCTCCACACAAAGCACAAACGCTGTAGCTCTGACGACGACTCCCATAGATCTTCGTAAAAATTGTAAACCGAAAGACGTAACCGTGAAATTGACCAATTATCTCCAGAACACGAGGCAAACGGTTTGATCACTTCGCCATAGAAGTTTCCATCCTCTCCATATCGCTGTTGACACATAGGGCACTCACATGCGAAAACCATTGCTGCCGGGTTGTTGGTTTTCTACATATAGTATCCCATCTCATTTTGTATTCCTTCATTTTCCTGTCTACTGTTCTCCTCCAGATTTCATTAGGTCGTCAATTTTTCTATTTGCTATCTACCGTCCATTGGAGGGCTGTCCTTGGCAAAGGGTCACAGGCAGTTTTGCAAACATGCCTAAACCATTTCCTTCTTTGTCCACTTTTTTCAGGTTGTCAGATGAGGTTCCAACTTTATCGCAAATGAGTCATCGCATAATTTCTCCCTCCGTGTGCCAGTGACAACCACACAACATTCTCGTGCCAGTGACAACCACACAACATTCTCGTGCCAGTGACAACCACACAACATGTGCCAGTGACAACCACACAACATTCTCGTGCCAGTGACAACCACACAACATTCTCGTGCCAGTGACAACCACACAACATTCTCGTGCCAGTGACAACCACACAACATGTGCCAGTGACAACCACACAACATGTGCCAGTGACAACCACACAACATGTGCCAGTGACAACCACACAACATGTGCCAGTGAGAACCACACAACATTCTCGTGCCAGTAACAACCACACAACATTCTCGTGCCAGTGACAACCACACAACATGTGCCAGTGACAACCACACAACATGTGCCAAAGACAACCACACAACATTCTCGTGCCAGTGACAACCACACAACATTCTCGTGCCAGTGACAACCACACAACATTCTCGTGCCAGTGACAACAACACAAAATGTACCAGTGACAACCACACAACATTATCGTGCCAGTGACAACCACACAACATTCTCATCGCTGTTGCATGTGAAAAGTTCAACAGATAGCAGCCTTGGTATCACTCAACAGTTGGTACACTCATCACATGCACTGACCAGCTGTTAGCGACTCCAGCACCTACAGTTTGTCACTTGAATCGACTTTTACAGTTGCCCACCAGCAGATGCACACGTATTACTGCATAAGGCCCTGCGTCAGTTGTGTGGCAACTAGCTACTTGCCATTTGAATTATTCCCCACGAAATTCGCAGTAAATTATGGTGTGCATGTTAAAAAAGAATTGTGCATGCTGAGTTTTCATAATAATCATCTCGTGGCGCACCGGTCAATTGGATTGGATTGGATTTTTTTCCCCACCAGGACATCACACAAGCGATAAACACCCGATCACACAAAGTGCTACCATGCGGATGAGGATCACCGTGGAGAGGTCCCAGAAACCGCGTTCAGACATTTGGCCATAATGATGGCCTGCCTATATTGCGGCCCCTGGCAAGAGCCAGAGTGGGGCTTCAAATAACAAAAAATAACGTCCTAAGAAGGACGAAAAGTAGGTAGTATAACACCGGTCAATGGTTGCCAAAGGTCAGACGATCAGGTGAATCCGCATATATTTATACGACTCAAAAAACTCATTTTTGATTCTCTTACTCGGCTGCATAAAAGACATCTGGTGCCACCCCATGTGGTGATATACCAAGTAAGAAGAGGGAAGACATGCACAAGTAACAACAGGGTGGAGGACGAGCGGTCATCTTCTTCTTCTTTCGTTCGCCTGAAATAAGTTGTCTATATCAGCAATTTTGTCTCTTGTGTAAATTTTACTGTTGTTGTTAATTCATTCAGTGGTCCATAGAGTTTACGTTCCACTGTTGTTCTTCCTGCCCAAAAGGTTTGCCTTAATGTGTCAAATTCGATGCCGTCCTGGAGTACATGCTCTGCTGTCTGGGGCACATTTCCACAGGTGCACATGGCTGATACGCCTATCTTGAATTTTGTGTACATGTTGTTGCGTAATCGGTTGTGCCCTGTTATGAGGCGGAGGATAATGACTTGTTCTGATCTGTCCATAATAAAATAGTCGTCTTGTGCTGGAGCTGGTGGTTTCCTGATAGATTTAATGATTCTTTTCTTTTGGTGGTATGTGACTGGTACATTCGGCTGCACTTTTGTCGCACCTTCTCCTGCCAGTTGATCAGCACTCCACAATATGATGGTATCCACTGCATTACAACTCTTTGCTGAAGGCTAAGTTGTGTCAGCAGTGTTTGCATTTCTGGTAGTTTCCTAGACTAGAGTGCTCCAAGTACTGATTTTGCATCTGTCAGCATCACTACATACTGGGAGCCAAGATTGGTATTTAGCAGTTTCTCTGTTGCTATCTTGATAGCCTGAGTTTCTGCATCATAGTTATGGCAGTACTTTCCGGTTGGTGACCTGGACTTATCCCTAGTACCATCTGGGAATTCTATGTACACCCCAGCACCACCATTTCTAACTGCACTTTCTGCTGACCCATCTGTATAGACTCTGACTCGTTGTTCTTGTGGGTATTCTTCATCAATATAACTGAGGGTGGCCATTCTGCGTTGTAAACTGTCTTGTTCTTTCTTGTCAAAAATTCCTTTCACATTTGTCTGGATTTGTACTGTTAGTTTGCATTTCTCTCTCCGTGGGGTTTGTTCTGGAATACTGTTAAGTGGACAACCAATTTCTGGAAGGTCAGTTGCTTGTCTACATAGTTTTTTTTTTCTTGGTGTATAAAGCTGCTTCTTTTTAACCGTCCCAAATCTAGGTTCTGAAATCTATTTTTCATGGTGTGATCTGGCATACTAGGGAACTTTTCAGCTTGTTTTTGCAACTTTGTATCTCTGCGTTCTCTCAGTGCCTGTGTTTTCCCAGCTTTCTCCATTTCTAATATGGGGGTTGATTTCATCCCTCCTGTGATGACTCCGAGTGCTTGATTTTGCACTTTGTCCAACTCCTTTAATGTGATACTAGATGCTGAACACCATGCAGTTGACCCATATTCCAAGTGTGGAAGTATGCTCTGCTTGTATACTTTATTGAGTATTTTCCCACTGGCTCCCCATGTGGTTCCACTTAGTTTTCTTAGAATTGCTGTCTTCCTCCTGGCTTTGGTTGCTGCCTTGTTGATATGTTTTCTCCGTGTCAACCTGTCATCAAATGTGACTCCGAGGTACGTGGGCTCTTTATCATCTCTTAGGGGTATTCCATTTATTTTGATGATGCCCGGGAAAGAGTGAAGAGTGTGGTGCTACATTTGTCTGTATTCATGCTGACACACCATCTATTCGCCCATGCCTCAAGTGCATATGTAGCCCGCTGTAGTGTTCTTGTGGCTATCGTTGCATGTTCATCGGTGCACCACAGGACGAGCGGTCTGATCCTGATGGAAGCATCAAGGCCAGAAATGGCGCAAACACTAGAATTTAGTCACGAAAGTGACGCAATTAACCCAGACCACAAATATAGGCGGAGACTGTTAGCAGCCTCGGCTAGCTAGCAGCAGTCTGAAAGTGGTCGACCTTTTCATTTTGTTCTCAAAAGGACTTGGACTAGGACTCCATCCGGCATGTCCTGGATTTACCTACGACATAGCTGCAGCAAATAACCAAACTCAGGCGAAAATTGATCGCCACACAATCAGAATTCAAGCTCAGTTAGCAAACGAATATTCCCTTAATATAGCAGGCCTTAGGGCGGCTAGAAGAGGATCAAGTTTGTAATTTTGTTTTATCCGAATCCTGCCTCGCCAGTCTACTGACAAGACATCGACCTGGCTGCTTCGAGATACTGAGCTGAGTTTGTGTATTTGTTTTGTATTGTTTGATTTATGTATGTGCTGATGAAGGCTCCATAGCCGCAAGTTTTGTTTGTGTTTGTTATTGTGAAACTTGATGCTATACTTTTCGTTCGGTTGTATATCTTTTCCAGTCACGGAAAATAATGAACGTATACACCAGCAGGCATGCATGACTTGTCTAAGGTTGTCATAACATTGGGGAAGTCTAAGGTTGTCATAACATGGGGGAGGTCTAAGGTTGTCATAACATGGGGGAGGTCAAAGGTTGTCATAACATGGGGGAGGTCTAAGGTTGTCATAACATTAGGGAGGTCTAAGGTTGTCATAACATTGGGGAAGTCTAAGGTTGTCATAACATTGGGGAGGTCTAATGTTGTCATAACATTGGGGAAGTCTAAGGCTGTCATAACATTGGGGAGGTCTAAGGTTGTCATAACATTGGGGAGGTCTAATGTTGTCATAACATTGGGGAGGTCTAAGGTTGTCATAACATTGGGGAAGTCTAAGGTTGTCATAACATTGGGGAGGTCTAAGGTTGTCATAACATTGGGGAGGTCTAAGGTTGTCATAACATTGGGGAGGTCTAAGGTTGTCATAACATTGGGGAGGTCTAAGGTTGTCATAACATTGGGGAGGTCTAAGGTTGTCATAACATGAGGGAGGTCTAAGGTTGTCATAACATTGGGGAGGTCTAAGGTTGTCATAACATGGGGGAGGTCTAAGGTTGGCATAACACGGGGGAGGTCTAAGGTTGTCATAACA